AAAAAAAAAAAAAGAAAAAAGAGAGAGAGAGAGTTGGGTGATTGGTGGGATCACACCTATGGTTCATCCTATAAGGGTACATGTGAATCTCTCTAAATGTAGAATATAAATGTCTTAAGACAATAACTAGGAAAAAAACATGAAGGCTATGTTAATCAGTTGGATGAAAGTATTTCAAATTATATACAGAAACGGTACACTGTACCCCATGATAGTATTAATGTACACTGCTATGATTTAATAAAAAAATAAAAAGAAAACCATTACTTTGCATACAATGAATGAGTCAGAGGACAGGCATGGGAATATCATGAGTGTGCAGTGAGTGTGTTTCTAGAAAAAAAGTTTAGAACCACCAAACCAGACAGCCTCATTCCACTAGTTTTACAGCATTATTCTCATCTAGAAGAGTGTTGGATCTCACATTCTTAATGGAACAGGTAAGAGAATCTGCCCCAGTTTCCCAAGCTTTATATATTTCTGTTTTAATGACCAGTGTTTCAGAAGCAGCAGTGTTACAGAAGCAACAGCAGGGCCACCCAGTTTTATGATCTCTAGATGTGAACCTGACTCTACTCCTGTAGAAGATAGCCTGTTCATTTTAAAGCAGCTTTAACCCAAACTGTTCTCTAAATATTGATCCAGGAGATGGTAATGCTTTTCTATGATGAAAGTGCCTATGGACAAATAAGTTTGGGAAATGAGATATACTATATATCCCCTTCTTAACATTTGCAAATTAAAGACTCTGAGATAGCCTGTAGTAAAGATACAAGATACCTTTTCTAACCTAACATACTATAGTGTTCTGCAGAACATTGATTTGTAAAAAATTACTAGGCAACTCCTTTTTATTCTGAACTTTAGTCTCTCTCTGAAACCTCCTAGCATTGGTTCTTTCCTCTATAGCAGAACCTCCTTTTTCATGTGGCAGATGTTTAGCTATTTTGGGAAAGCTTTCATGGCTCTTCCCCCATCATCAAGTATTTAAGGTAAAGATTCCTAGTTCCTACCTATAGTGGTTCCTCACAAGACATAGTTCTGTCCTTTTACCATCCTGCTTTCCCTCTTCTGAAAAACATTCTTTACCTGAAATACAGCAATTAAGATTAAGATATTTTAGTATGTGATACTAGCAGCCAAATACAACATTCTAGAAGTAGTCTAACTAGAAGAACTAGCACCTACCTTTATCTAAACAATGCATTTCTGTTAATGCAGTATAAGGTAACCTCAGATGTTCCTGGAAACTACATCACAATGTTGGCTTGTATTCTAATGTGTGTCACTTCATTGACAGGAATATATTCTGTGAAATGCATTGTTAGTTGATATCGTTGTTGCGCAAACATCATAGAGTGTACTTACACAAAGCTACATGGTATGTCATATAGCCTACAACACACTTAGGCTGAGTGATATATGCTCTTTCTCCTAAGCCACAACCCTGTGTAGCATGTAGCACATAGCACGTAGCATGTTACTCTACTGAATACTATAGGCAATTGTAACACAATGGTTTTTGTGTATTTAAACACAGAAAAGGTATAGTAAACTTTATACATTATATGAATGTATCAAATTATCACATTTATCCCCAAAATATTAAAAAAGAGATTTCAATCCATTTGAAAAAACTTGAACACATAACTGAAAAAAAAGTACAGTAAAAATATAGTATTATAATTTAATGGGTCCACCATCATATATGTGGTTGATGTTTTTCTTTTTTTAAATGAGACAGAGTCTCACTGTATTGCCCTCGATAAAGTACTGTGGCATCACAGCTCAACTTTGGGGCTTATATGATTCCTTTGCCTCAGCCTCCCAAGTAGCTAGGACTACATGTGCCCTATGTGGTTGATTGTTGACTAAAAATTTGATACACAGAACATAAATATATGCCATTTTATGATTAAAAATCTCTAAGTTTTTCTACATTGTTTATCTACAACATACATCTTTGAGTTCCACCATATGCCATTGACTGACATAGGTGTTGGAGAAACAAAGTTGAATAATCTACTATACCTGTTCTCAAAATTACCTTACTTATCCTGACAGACTGTCAAGATTCTGGCAAATGCAAAGGCCTTGAGGAAGTAATGATGTGGTGAGAAATAGTATGGATGGTTTGGGAAGAGTAAGGTGAAAAGAGATAGAAGATACAGTCAGAGGAAGCTAGGGATCAAATCATGAGGGCCTTGTGACTACTGTGACATTTTGATGTTATTCTAAGTGACATGTGAAACTATTGGAGGTTTAGAACATGGGAGTGGCATAATCTGATTCTATAGGATCACTCTGGCTGCTGAGTTGGAGAACTGTCTATAGGTAGGAAGGGATAGAAAGAGGGCGTCCAGTTAGGAAGTTTTTGCAACAGTTCAAGCAAAATATGTTTGTGACTTGAGCAATGTGGTACTGTGGAGAGAAATATTTTGACTTGGAATTAAACCTTAAGATAGATACAGTGTGATCTGAGTGTGGTTTAGATATAAAAATCTAAACCACTGGTTTGAAAAAAAATCAGTGCTCACTCCTAGATTTTGGCCTGAGTATGGGAGTGAATCATGATGTAATTTTCTGAAAGTAGAAAGAAGACTAGGGTAAGAACAGATTTGGGATGTAAAGTAACTAAGTTTCATTTTGGGCATGTTGAGCTTCAGGTGTTAATTGATATCCAAATGAAGATATTAAGCTGGCGGTTTCATATATGAGTCTAAAGTTCAGGTAACAGGTAGGGGCTAGAAACATAAACTTGAGAATCATCAGCATATGAATGGTATTCAAAGACATGAAACTGGATGAGATTTCCTAGGAAGTGAATACATAGAGAGAAATGCTCAAGGACTGAGTCCTGGATCTGCCAACATTAGAAATCCAAGTGAATGGGAGGAGGGGGCAAGATGGTGGACTGCAGCCAGTTTTTTACAGAGGCTTCCATCCAGAAGGAGACTTAAAAGATAGAAGTTTAGCAAGAAAGCTGATGGTTTGGAGCAGAGTCAAGAGAGAAGATTGAAGAATGCACTTCAACCTTGCTGAGGTGAGCTGCGACCCCAAAAATACAATCAAAAGGTACAAAATCCACCACCAAGCTGATGGGAGGCCCTTCCCCCACAAGAAGGGCTCACAGTTTATTCCATACAAACAAGAGAGCAGAGTTCAAACATCCTCTCACTCTATCCCACAGGAGAGACCCCCTAAAAACTGGACCTCCTACATACCATGGCACCCTCCTGCCAGGCATAAAACTAAAACTGTATAAAACTGTATATATTCCCTACCTGCAACTCTGAACTCTGAGGATTACCCCCTGCCCACTCTCACCCCGAGATCTGGAGGTTTGTCACCCATGGAGTCCAGATTCTTGGGCATTTCCTTGAGAGGAGTGGAGGGGGAAAGGGCTGGTGCTGCTCTGTGCTGACTTTATGACATAGGAGTGAGGAGAAGAGTGTTAGCTCAGAGGAAGCCATACAGGAGCTGCCTGATGCCATTCCAGATAGGCACGCCCTGTCTCTCTGGGCAACCAGAGGTTCCGGACAGCAGCCACTGGTGGAACGGACTTGGGAACTTTTGTGAGTAAAGAGACCATTAGCACCTAGCCCTCAGGGGAATATAGCTAAGACAATGGCAGTGGGTGGGCAGAGCCTGGAATTGACACCTGAGTATAAACTCTAATTGTTTGCTGCCCAGGACTGAGTTTCTTATTAGCTCTAGCAGCCTCTGACTTGCAGAGGAATTTAGCCAGGACAGAAGGTGTGGGACTGGAACTGAGTAAACTTCCCCAGCCTAAATAAAAGTCCCCCTGCTGGACTCAGATCTCTGGGGACTTTGGCAGTTGTAAACCGCAGGAGCATTTGCTTACTGGAGTGAACTGGGTCA